TGTTCATCAGTCCATGTCCAATGCTTGAAGAGGACTTAAGTCTCAGTCGCTGAATGCTGGTGAATATGTAAAATGGGCCTAGTTGGTTCACAGCAGAATCCATACAAATTCAGCACAATTCCACCCACCAAATGTGAAGAGTCTACTTAAAATAGTGACAGAAGCTGGTTTTGGCCAGCAGCAGAAGTATAGAAAGACACTTGTTTAGCTGCCCAGAAAGTTCATTCATCATGTGATATACTACAAAAAGACATTTGGAAATTGCATAGCAACTAAACATAACAACTAAAATACTAAGAATTCACATTACAAGCCTGTAGCTCTTATGTCACTGTAGATAAAGGACTAGATCCAAGCTAGGAACATTCAGCCCTATTTTCAGGTGAAGCTTTTGCATACAGAATTTTGTTTTTCAAAGGGAAAAAAAAAGTCAAGTATATGCCATAAAATAACATTGTGCCCTTAACCAAACTGCATGGTTGAGCTGGAGCTCCTGTGGTGCCTCAGAGAGGACGTAAATGGGCCCTTCGTTTCAGAACTACTTGCCAAGATGGAAAGTTTTACTCAAGTTACACACAGTTACACACAGAAAACATTGAGAAGTTTGAAAGGATATGTATACAAATAAAGATGCAGTACACGTGCCTGAGAGTCACAGTAGGAATGGGAGTTGCACAACAACTGGACAGTCCCCATCACACATACTAACCCTATGTAGATACTCCCTACAGTGCCTCCAGTCTCTATCCCACCCCTGGGAACATCCAGTCTAGCCAAATCAAGATTGATATCTACTTTAACTCCACTGCATAGACTGAAGGACAAATTCAAGGTGTTCTGTGGGAGTGTACATATCACTGGGCTCACACTGCATGTAAGACTTAAGATTCTTCCACCCCCATGCCCAAAAGCAGCTGTTAATTGCTTTCTGCTGAAGCAAAGCATTCTGTGAAGGTCTGGATTACTATCAGCTTAGGATAAAAGTCTGGCTGAAAAATATTAAATTCTTTCCTACTGCAGGAAATGTGTGATTAAATGTTCTCCACTGCAGGAAATGTGAGACTAACATTCACATTTAAAATAATGCTTTAAGAGCTTTGATATTTTGTTTGAAAGGTCAGAGTTACAGCTTGAAAGCAACATGTTTGCCCTAAAAACTGAAATTCAGTTGTAGGTGGAGCTGAAGAGGACCTCCTGCTTCCACTCCCATGCCATGGATATGGCAGAAGCTGCCAGCTCTCCCCAGATATACACACTCCAAGATGCTGCTCAGGAGAAGATGGCAGAGCAGTTACCACTGGTGGCCTGTTATACTGACAGTTCCTGCCAGTAAGGAAGGTATACATTAGGTTGCACTCAGGCCAGAGGCTGGTGACTAAATTACAGCATAAAAGATTGAGACACATATATTTACAATGCCAGGGGAAGAAAAAAAAAATTCAAAAAAAATCACACAACTTAGCACTAAAATTTCTATGTATGCAGACACTGAAGAGGGATGAACTGTGAAGTCTGTGTGTTGTCTTAAAGAAAATGCAAGTCTTTGAGAATGATTTTTCTTCATCATTCAATAGCATTTCCTAAAACATACTAACCATTTTTTGGAGTCCACATTCATTAACAGTGACCAATGTGACCAATTAAAGTCATAATATGTTTTTAAATCAATTTTTAAAAATAAATCAAGCCTATTTAAGGGTCTCCTTTCAAGACTACTTAGCCTCTGGTATGTTATTAGTATGCAGTCTCATCAGCTGACCCTCATAAATGAAATTCCATTTTCTATTCTGTTATTGAGCATGTGCTTTTACAGTCTGTATGCTTAACCCAGGGAAGTAAACAAACACCACTTTGTCTGCCTCAGGGACTCTTTGTTCTTTAAATTGGACTTGCACCCCCCACTGGCTAGGATCACTGACAGAAGCTGCCTACCTCCCTTGGACAAGTTCTCAATGGACTCTACAGCATGCAGTACCCACATTCTCAGCTGTTCTCTCCCTGATCCAATCCAAGCTAACAGGGAATGACTTCTGTTCCCTCTCAGCCTGGAGAGGGACTCCTGTCCCGTGAATGACCTCTGCAGCATGACAGGCTGTCCCAGCAGGGAGGAGGATGAAAGCAGTACTGCTCCCCATAGTGATACTGGCTGTGTGCCACAGCTGGCTGCAAGATACCTCCTTCCTCTGCCATGTCCTGAGTGGGAACAAGGGGAAGTGTGAGCAAGGCCAGGAGAATAACACTCAATTAGCAAAAGGGCAGCAGATTCAGGATGACTAGAACACATTCAGAAAACACAGCCCTCAAAACATATTATCATCACCAATAACACTTTACAAATTAACACTATTTGTGTAACCCCATAAGCTGTGAAATACCCCCCGAGTATTTCACAGCTTAATTAGCAGTCCCCCTGCTCATAATGATAAAGACACCAGATTTCACTAGTAGCTCAAGAAATCTGAATGCATGGGTTGGCAGAAATTGAAACACAGAGGTAAGCATCATCTCAGAAGACCTGAAAAACGGAGGAGTATGAGATGTATCCAAGTATGAGATGTAGCACTGGAACCTAAGCGCTGTGAATATAATTCCCCCAAATCCATAAACAACTGAGCTATTGAGGTATCTTGTTTTTGATTCCTTAACTAATAAAAATTTCCTTATATACAAATTCAGCACAGACTATCATCTCTAAATTTCCTGAAATCAGGATTTCACAAAGATTTGTTTTCTGACATGCTTATTTAACACTATTTTGCTCATGTATTTAGTAGGTTTTGAAACACTACATTTTATATGACCAGTGGCTAACTAGTACCAGCTAAAAATACAGTATAGAATGTAAGCTATAAGTCAATACTCTTGCCAAATACATTTAAATTTAACTATAGGGGAGAGGGTTTAAATCTATGTCAAATTTCAGTAGACTCACCTGGCTGGCTGCTCCAACCTCCCTAACAGAGCCAGCATTACCTTTTAATGGTAATCCCCTATTCCTTTGACAACCCTTGAAGAAAATCACTCTCTTCCACATTTGATATTCAAAATATTTCAGCAAGTTTCCAAGCCATTTTTAACATCCTCCTAAAGTCACTATAAGCAGTTTTCTTGGACACTTTAGTGTCTTTTGACATAGGTTTAATCTTGCACATGTTTAGCCTCTCCCCCTCTCCTAATTTGAGATCTGCTATGTCAGAATAAGTATGTGTGCTCTATTTAAAAAAAAAAAAAAAAAAGAATAGTGGTGAAAGTGTGTCCTGATCCCACTACTTCAATTCAATTCCTGAAATCATATAGCATGCTCCACCAGCTCTTGGTGAAGGGATAATAATTTCACCTGCTAGAGGCAGCAGTTAACTCTTGAAAAACAGGGAACAAAATCAAGAACGCATGCATTGTGTCCATTTGCTTGCATGAAGCAGGCATGCTCAGCATTTTGGAATGACAAACATAAGAGGCTTAACATGCCAAAATAAAGATTTTATTTATTTTTTTTCAGTGAGTCTTCTCTTTCATCTGTTTAAAAATCGTGCCTATTTTAGGTCTTGGTATTGTGGTGGTTTTTTTTCCCAAGCATCTGATCTGCACTGAACTAATTCTGTACAAATATTCATGAGCGTGTTTAACAAGTTTTAACAAAAAGAGCAGGCATCTTGCGAGTCACAGCTGAATAGCAATGAAGTCTAAACATAGACATTTCAGAAAAAGTTATTCATTATTTCAGAAAAGATTGAGGAGATATTGGTGTTATTTATTTTACAGTACTTCAGTTACACCTTAAAAGTTAACCAAGAAATATCCAACCATAGCCAAACATGAAGAACACACACAAATCATAGGAATCCTTACAGGCGCTTCTTGTAATAAATTTGTAATGCAAAGAACTTGAATTTTAGCATTTAGCAATTAAACTTGATTTCCCCATAGAGCACTTTGGGTGTTTGTTTGTTGGGTTTCCTTGGCTTGTGTAAATAACCTATTTTCACTCTGGATACTTTAATTCCTTTGGAGGTGCATTCTATTGCATTCAAAATTATTTCATGTCTTAAGGCATTATTAAGAATTTGAATAATGAAGAAGAAACCCACAGTGATCAAATGCAATCACTTTCTCAGTATTTTAGGCTCATTATGACCATATTTTAAAACAAAAAGTTACAATGCTATACCAGCCACATGCATCTTTAAGAACAGAGAAAATGAGCAAACAAGATATACATGACTACTTTTCCAAAGCTTTTTGAGGTAGCATGTAAAAGTGTAGTTTTTAGGAATGTCTTTTATTTCTAATGCAGAAAGTTCACATAGAAGCCCAGACATTTAAGTTAATGCCAGCTGTACATACTCGACTTTGACAGCCAGGGATCTCTTCGTTGTTTTCTGTTATCTACAGACAGTGTTCAGGTTTTCAGTGCTGTTACTATGAGCACAATGGTTCCATTTATTCCCAGGAAGAAATTAATCATGATTGCCTTAAACCTGTGATTTCACTTGGACATACAACTTTTTCTCTCTATACCTTTTATTTTCTTCTTTTTATCTTTTTTTTTGTGTGTGCGTGTGTGTGTGTGTGTTTTGGTTTGAATTACTATTAGGTAGGATACACATGGTCTGAAGTATATTCCCTTCAGTGGTGCACAAATTGGTTACAATCTTACATATTAGCCTGTATTTTGTCTTTCTAGACCCAGAGCCCTCTGAAATATTAAAGGTAGTGAATTTTTGTGGGAAGGTAATCTAGAAAAAATGACAGATTACTTCATAATTTAATGGCAAATCCATGGCAAAGCAAATGTATTCTAAACACCAATAGGCAGGCTTATGCTTAGCATAATAATTTAATAATTCACTCAAGTTGCAAACAGGTTAATTGTGTCAAGATAATTTTTATCGATGGTAGTAGTCCTTCATGCCTAAATTCATTATGTGGCATTACCTCAGGATGATTGGAGAAAAACAGCAGAAAAGCCAGAAGTCCTTTAAAAAGTTTGTTTATCAGTAAGAAAGCACAACACAGACAGAAAAGAAACAATGGACATCTATGTTAAAAGCCTGCACAGAAAACTGAATGGTAACTTTTGAATTTAGAGTAAACCGATCCTCATAATCCAAGAAATAACTGCAAGCCATCTTAAACAAAAAAACAACAAACGTACTATGAGAAGAGGGCTGCAAGCCTTTAATTGTGTCCCAGGATTTCAATACACTTGCAGAATTTATCTTTTTTATATAAGAGTGGTAAATCCCCAGTGCAATGACACTGTTTGATATCAAGCTCAAAAGCAATTAACGCAAGCAGAAACTTACCTTTACAGCTGCTGTCACTGCAGCAGTTGCTGCCAAATTCAACCCCTGCCTTCCAAAATTCACCATGGTCTCATAGCCTCTTTCTTTGGCTTGGACAATGTACTCATCAATCTCCTAAAAGAAAAACGTATTTAAATTTTAGAGGGCTGTTCATAAGAGAGCAAAGTTACCCCACAGTATTATTTTCCCATCAGTAAAGGAAGACAGAAAAAATATTTGAGAAAATATTTAATGGGATATATCTTTGTATACAGGTGTTTTATTCATTACAACTCTCTCATTTAAAAAATTATTATATGTGGTCAAACAAGAAGATAAAGTACATCACTTCAGTGCAGCTCAGAAACGTTGCAAAATGTTCCTTAGAGAGTGTAAGCTTAACTTGTTGGACAGAAGTTTTTCAAGAAATATCATGCATTTCAAGAAATAACATCATCTTACATGAAGAACTCAGTCAGCTCCCTAGAAAGGTAGAGTCAACTTGCAAAGAACTTCCAAAACCACAGCTTTGAAATAGTTAAGTACCAAGGACAAAACAGTTACGACATTTATCTCCAGCTCTGGTAAATGCCTAGAGTTGAAGATAAAGACTTCAAGGTACTTCCCAATAGTTTGCAGAGTACAGGGAAGTATCCCTCTAGCTCACAAAGTTGCAAGTTGTTTATTGCACAACGTTCAGAATGTCAAGATACTTGCTCTGTTCCTATCAGTGACAATCTTACTACCTGCTTTACCTAATAAAGGCCAAGCCTAGCACTGACCTTCAGGAATGCTCTTTTCTGTAGTGTGAGGTTTCTCAGTGCTTGTCTTCAGACCTTTGCTAATTGCTCTTTCCCCTAATCCAAACAGGATGCTGAAAAAGAGCTAAGCAGAGCTGTGTCCCTGTCATACTTTGATTAAAGCAAACCATCTTCTGGCTATTTTTATGTTTGGGTATTTACTGCTGCAGACTGGTTTACCCTTTAAACAAGTCTCTCCTCTTGTCAGTTTGCAAACCAAAAAAAGTCATTGATGTCAATCATCCTGAGAAGTGTTATTCCTCATTTATGCTAGAAAAAAATGTTAACATTAACAGCTTTTAGTAAAGCTGTGTTCATACATTCACATGCTTGCAGTAGAAAGTTAAACTGCATCACTTCCACTTAACTGGGCTCCTCAGAGTGCATCAAGTAGAGCAGGGAACACGAAACTCTCATGTTAATAGGAAGAAGGACCTGGTCTGCTCAGGCAAGTTAAACAAAAGCATAGACATGGACAATTATGTGCACTTGCTTCCGCTAGTCCAAATTCATGCTGCCTGGCAAGACAGTAACAAGCTGCTCTGCTCTTATACTGTATCTAGCAACAGCTTTTATTTCAGCATATGTTGTTTCCATATTAGGCATTAGAAATCTGAGAAGTTATTTCTTACCCTTTCTTTAGAAGAAAGCAGTGGGTGGAGGAATTTTCTGTAGATTAAACTTGCCCCTCTAGTATATGGGGAAAGGAGCCAGATAACAAAAGCTATCTTCAATTCATAGTACAGTGGAAACCTACAGACAAGTTAAAGGTTGCACAAAATCAACAACTGCAGTAGAAAATGCACAGTAACTAATCTTTATAAAGAGATCTATTAAAAAAACACAATTATATTAGCATTTAGGATTCTTCAAATACAAGAAGTTACATCAGACAAAAATTAAATGAGTTACGAATTTATGGACTGTCATTTAAGCAATCAAAACAGTTAATATGCTTGTTTTTCATTATATATTCCTACACAGAGAAATTCTAGGCCATCCTTATAAGAGTTTCATTCTCGTATTCAGTTTCTACAGTGGAGCTAGAAATGTTATAATCCCTACTTCAAGTAACAGTGTATAGCAAATTTGAAAGCAGATGCTGTTCATCTATGCACCAAGATCTTTTCCTGTAAAATGGGCTATTAAATTAACATGACTTCTTTATATAAAATAAATCAATACAACTTCAAAAACATCAGAAACAAATATAGTTTCCTCTACAGTTCATAAAAAGCAGGGTCTTACCAAGAGACTGTTAGGTCAGTTATCGTTTCAGTAACTGTATAAAGAGCAAACACAATCCAGTACATCATCCAGCGAACCTGAAAATTAAAATAGCATCTTCACTAAGAGCTTTAATTTCACTTTTAGACATAATATACTATACACAATACAGTTTTTTCAGAGTTAGCACAGCAAGACATTCAACAGTATCTCAGTCTTCATAAACCAGGTATCAGGTGAAATGATCAGGTGAAGATTCCAAAAGATTTCTGTTCATAAGTAGAATTGGTGGCAGCTGCAACAAGCTCAGTGAAATGGCTGTGTCACCAGGATCACAACCTCACATAGGCTGATTTCACAGATTTGATTCTCTCTACAAACCTTTAGCGATATAAAAAAACCAGTGCGAGATCAGTAGATTATCCTAAGTATGGAAAACAAATCCCACCATGACACTAACATATATTTCATTCTCTTCCACACTCAACCATATGTTCATACCATGCACACGAAAGTCAGCATTAGTGAAGCATCCCTTGCTTTCATTTCACAGTATGTGTTATTCAGCTTCACATTACCATTACATTCCACATGTGTGATTACTGGTATGGTATTAACACGGAGGCAAGGCAACATAAAGAGCATTTGCATGGAGATTTTAATTCTATTTATATGCCAAGAACTACAAAATTCTTGTTAATTAAAAAGTTTATGTGTTAATGCTTCAGGGATTTACAGGTAGAAACCTATTTTTGTTTATGGCTTATACTATATATCATTGCTTTGAAATCAGACTTAAAGTTCTTAAAATAGTATAATTTGTTTTATAACAAGTAAGATAATCACTCCTTTTTCTTGAGCATTTTTTCAAATTTGGTTGCATAAGCTGATTACATGTTTCAGAATAAATACTACAGAAATAGTTCCTATGCATTTGTCTTCCCTAAGCTATGAGATGCCAAATGCTATGTATTTCCAAAATGGGTCACTGCAAACCACCACTGGTTATTTGTACAAACTGAACATCCACATGTTCTTTAAATTCCTAGGAAAATACCCCGCAACAATACAGAACCATTTAGAAACAAACAACCCCCCCAAAAAACCAAACCAGCAAACAGTAAAACAAAACCACCACAACAGTTAGAGACTAGTTTGAGCCCTAAATTCATGGTACTCTCTTTCAAAGGGAGGATATATATATATTCCTTTGAAGGTGTGTGTGTATATATATATATATACACACATACATACACACCTATATTTTCCTTATATATATATATATATATATATATTCCTTTGAAGGTGTATATATATATATATATATACTCATACATACACACCTTCCCACAGAGGATGTGGCTCAGATTTAATCTTCCCTTTTAAAACAATCTTATTTCTAGTGGACTTAAGTAACTACTCAAAACCTAATGATACACTGCTGCCTATTTCATGGATGTGCATTATCGTTTAAAACCACTTCCTCTGTCAGAACTTGAGACCCATTTATCTTAAATGCTTTTCTGTGTTTCAGTTTGACAAGAAACTCAGTCATGTGATAACATTCTTCAATTTCTCAGAGGATTTAGATATTTTAGGGTTGAATAAACAACGACAAATGTACACAACAGCTGAAGTCATTGCTGACAGGCCATGTGATATTTAGACTGGTGACCCTTCCATGAACCAGAGTCAACACCTGAATGAAAATCAAATCTAACCTTGCCCCATCAACTTAAGCAGAATGCAATGCAACCTTTAAGAATCCTTCCAAGACTGTATTTTTCCCCAATATAATTTATCTAGGTTGTTCCTTCTTTAATCAACATCTATTAATCCAATTAAGAACAGTGTAAGTGGAATTTCTCCTGGGCTTCTAGGAACAGTAAAAATGTCTTGCAGGAGGGCACATGAGATCTGCCAGGAGACCTCCTGAGGACTGGGCAAAGATTCTATAAACCACAAATCATATTCTAGTATGCAGTAACTAATGCAGTAGGTACCACAAGTATCAATGATGTAACAAATGAACATGTGTGACTTAGAGGGGTTTTCATACCAGAAAAAAAGAGAAAAGGACATGAAAAATTGAAGGTCAGATTTCACACTACTGAACACTATCACCTACTTTAAGTAACAGAATCTTCAACCAAGTTTTATTTTTCATGTTAAAAAAAGTGAATACAGATTTGTTTAGTTGAGGGGTTTTTTCCTAGCATCCAAGTGTTAAGCTCATCTTTGTTGGTTTTGTCTGAAGCACATTCTTTCAGGTCAGAATTTTGAAGCCAGTATTTGAAGAGGCTGGTCTGTTCAGACATATAAACTACATTTCAGATGCTTATTTCAAGTGCTTTGGTGCAATAGAGTGAAAAAACATCTCAAATATCTTAGTCAACTCCATTAAACCAGGATAATTGCAAGAACAAATAAATCTCCTCAAAGGCCCAGATTCTAATTTTTAGCACTGAAGTCTGTAAGTTTTTTAAATTACCATAAGCAGCACAACACCTTTTTTCGCTCCCGAAATAATCTTTCACCAATTTGCTGCATCATGACCTACACAACAAGTCAAGATGGCTATTCTTTTTGTTTGGTTGGTTTTTAGTGGTGGAAATAGTGGCTGGGTAAAATATTTTACTGTTACAAAGCTCTTATCAATTCAGCAACAAACATAGATGGCTTCTGAGCCACACAAAACCCTGGAAAGGAAGTTGTGCTTGGACCATAATGTGAGTGGCGGCAGACTTGTGCCATTTGGAAAGCCACATTTAAATCTAAAACCTTTACTGTGAAAGAAGATTACCCAGTTGGGAAGACGACAGCCATGGATCATCCCTAAGACCTATCTGGACAGTCAACCCAATCAGCAACAGAATGATAACTCACTGATGAATCACTGTCATGCCCTGCTAATCAAAAAATCACTGTGATGGGTCTTACCCATTTTGCCTCCCCTGAGTATTTTGTATATGACTGCAAGTTCTGGAACTATTCAAAAGACCACAGGCACACTAGAAGAGCTGAAAAAATATAATTCCAGGCCCTGCTAGCAGGGGTCCTGAGTAATGATGCCCAAGAAAGACATTTAGGTCATGGCTAACTGGACAGCTAAGGTGAGAAAAAATTCTCAGTATTCTAAAATATTACTTCTCTTTTTTCTAGAAAAGATAGTGCAAGAGGAAGTGGTAACCTCTTAAATTAAAGTGATTTCCTTTATTTTGGTTGGAAACTGCTATGCCCTACTTAGCCTGTGGATTCATTTTGAAGGCGCAAGGAAGAAAAGTAGATTATAAATTCTTTGCATTATAGAGTTTCCTGACAGAGTAATACAAGCATGATACAGAAAATTCACCTCATAGTTTTGATGAATTTTTTCTCCCATGAGTTTAGCTCTGGCAGGCACCAGCTCTATCTCACAATTTAGCGCTAATCAGCTTGTACACAGAAATCAGAAGTACAAATACTATGTTCTTTGAGGCCTTGATAGGGTGATGAGACTGAATTAAGACATTCAAGGGGAGGAACAACAGCTACCACATTGTACAGCTACAGTGAAGTACAAAATTAAGACATCACACATCAGACAACAGCCTTAGGCCACAGCTATGGTTAACTTATGGTTGAGTTAAGAGTAACTGATGGCCCTGACCCCACCCTGAGACAGGCAGCCAAGTTAAGGGCAAGATTCAGGACAGGTTAGTTGCTGAAATCAAGTCAGGCTGTCTCTTAAAATAAGGAAGTAGCTCAGTGACTAAGTGACTAGCTCTTTGTGACTGCACCTGGTTAATATTCTCGTGATTATCCTCATTGCTCACACTGACAAGTAAATAATTTAATAGTTTAATTAAAAACTGAAGTAACTATAACTGTTTTTCTCCATCTTTTTCTTTCGTCTCTCTTTTCTCCACACCACCTTAACCAAATCTTTTCCTTCCCCGGTTATGTTTTCTCCTCATTGAGGAATAATAGATTAACAAGAACTACCCTTTTCTTAGGTAGGTTTTGAGTCTCCTATTGAGCTATGACACTAAGCTGCTGCTCTTCTAGTGGTAACTGAAGAAAAATTGATTCTAGTGAATCAGTTTGTCAATACTTATACTTGAAGTGTTGGCAGAATTAGGAAACTTTCATTCTACCCCCTGCCTAAAAGTGCATTATTTCTTATACTTTGCTGAAATGGAACCAAAACTTTAAGGTTTACACTAAAAATACTCTTTAAAAAAAAAAATCTATATACGGCATAGTGTCTTGAACATGTTTCAGCACAAAACTATGTAATGTATGAGATGCCTTAACTTTAACCTTCCAAACAAAATCAGAGGATTGCCACTAGATTCACACAAGCATTGTAACTAACAGTAAAACAGTCAATTCAAGCTTTCACATGATTTATTACACAATGAAAATGTCACATATCTATGTCAGCAGAGGCATGCAATTAAACAATTAAAATGAATGAGACTTACATATTCCTTCACATTTTTTGTCTTCACAGCTTTGTATGAGTAATATGCGGGATACAGCATCCCAAACACCAGCCTATTGAAAAACAGAAACAGCCTTCAGTATCTGTTACACTGTATATGACAGAACAGTGACATCATTAGAACAATGCAGTCACCTTAATACAAAAAATCCTGTTCTCTAGCAATTAAAAAAAAATTGGGGGAGGGGGGGGAATCAGTGTTATGTGTTCCTTGGAGGAAGTTTCATTATAGGCAAAACTAGAACAACATGAACAGAAAAGGGTGTATGCCCTAAAGACAACAAGCTGTTTTGTAAGGCTGCTTCTAATAGATAATGTAAACTGGTTGTTCTGGTTCATTTACAGGGAAAACCAGTCCTACAGCCTTTCAACACCAGAAGACATCAGAAGATAGTGCTGGCAGTGCTATCACACTTGAAGAACCTCTGAACCTATCAGTAGTTTATCACAATCATCTACTTTTATCAGACTACCAGAAATTTATTTCAAGACAACACTGACAACATTTCATCTCCTTTCGCTAGGAGTCTGCAACAGCAGCATTTAGAAGCGGAGGAAAATCAGGAATTAATCCACTTTTGCTCAGACAGCCAATTGCTGCTGAAATTCATGAAAAGCAAGATACAGAGCAGGATGAGAGGGTGCCAAGCAATCCATGCTGAGAGCACAGTCAGAACGAAGATCTGCTCTAACTCAACTTTGTTACAACACATCACTTTCTAGTAAAAGTCTTGGCCATAGACTAGAACAGTCCTTTATGAAAAATGAACAGCAGTAGTTACCATCTACTACTTGATAAATCAAGAGCTCGGTATTTCTATTTCACTGTGGGAAATAAGAAAAGCCTTACAGAATTACGACCTTTCTAAGCTTTGCTAAATCCTGTTCACTTCTTTTCACAAAAAAGCACTCTGGGAAAGGGTTCAGCTGCAGGCCAGATGGCTGGAGATTGGGTTAACAGTCACCTCGTGTGTGAGGCAATGATTGGTTGGGGAAGCATGTGAACACCACTCGATCAGAGCTGAGTGGGTAAAGGGATGCACTGAACAGTGACACTGCACTGGCAGGCAGCCAATGCACACTAGTTTTGGTTAAGTTTCATGTAATAAAAAGGCTCGGTTTGTTACAATAAATGATCTTCACAGCTAGCAAGGAGGTCTGTGCATCTTTGTTCCCCATTGCTATGTTTCACCACCTTACTACATTTTGTAAAATTAAGCTAATCGCCTGCCTTTAAATTCCACCTGGCCTGCAACAGCCTTTAGAGAAAAGTCTGGCTACACTCTACTGCATCAGTAACAACTTGCTCTACGTGGTTACATGGGAGAGATTTGCATTTGTAGGGATATCCAAAAATCCTCAAAGTTCAGAACTTAAAAGTAATTTAACATCTCATAGTTAGACAAAGGCAAAGTTATTTACCAAAGTAAATAACCAAAATTTTGTATTTTATTGTTGCCCCAGGCAGCTTTAAGTAGTTCTACCTACACAGCCACTGCAGAAGACTGCGTGATACTACCACAGGACTTTGTGAGTGTACAAGACAACAATGTAAGTTTGGATTCAACCAGTTTGATATACACCATTTTCCAAGCATCACTCTGGTATGTATGCAGAAGTCTTCTGCTTGGTAGGAAGCAAATTTAGAGTACTAAATTAATCTCCAACAGTTAATATATAGTACATAAGTGGAGGGGAAATGGACTTGCTAAAAACAAATATTAAATACTTCCTTCAATATCAGACACCACACAGACTGTTTCTCCACTCTTAGTGCACAGAGTTACCCCTGGAAGGAAGCCTCTTTCAGTGGGATACTGGCTCTTTAGAACTCAGAGGTTCTAAAGTTAAGCTGCAGATGCTTCAAGTGAGAGAGCTTGATAAAATTATGGAAGCATAATTGCAGAACCATTCATGTTCTGAAGGGTCTTGCAAAGTCATCTAGTCCAACATCCTGCTCAAATCAAAGTCAACATCAGATTTGGACCAGACTTCTTAAGATTCAGCCAGTCAGGTTCTGGAGGCTTCCAAAAGAGATTCCACATCCTCTCTGGGCAACTTATTCCAATGCTGAATGAACCTCTGAGCAAAAGTTTAGTTGTATTCAGCCAGAACCAGAAGTTCATGACTATTGTATCTTTTGAGTGAGCAGCAGAGCAAAAGAATGGGCCTGGCTCTCTTAACCACCAAGAAGTTGCATGAAATTGCTACCAGTTCTCCTCAAAGTCTTCCCTTTTATGGCTGAACAAGCCCAGTTCATTCAGGCACTCATCACAAGTCATGTGCTGATGACTTTGATGGCCTCCACTGAACTTTCTCAAATAAATTAACATCTTTCTGGTATTTAGAAGCCCAAAGTTGAGCACAGTCAAATAAATAAATTTCACATCTACATTGCCATCCATAATACATAATTTCCTCTTAATTTAAAAATTAAAAAACCCAAATAAAATCCTGTATTTTCTTAAACAGCAAAGAAGGCTCTAAGATAAACAATGGATTTTAATACAGAACCAAAAAAAATCACTACATGATTATAAGTAAGACTTAAAGCTAGTTAATCATATATAGCTCTTTCACAAAACAAGGTGAGATTCGAACAAAGCTTCTGAGTCTCATGTGCAATCCTGGCATGTATTGGGCTTTTACTCATCCAACAGAGTTGTTAACTGCTAGTACTACAGAGGAGCCTAAGAGCACTTCAAGCAGGTCTCCACAAGATTAGATCCCTCTGGAGTGGGAAGGGATGGTCACTTCAGATCACTCAAACCAGTGCTGATATGGAAGAGGATTAACAGGTGCACATTAGTGGCACTTTCATACCTGGATACAGGTGTTCAGGATTCCACATTTCATGTTACACTGGATGTAACAGAAGATGGACCCTGGAGCTGTTTAATATAGGAAAGGCAAGTTGCTACTCCACTGGAGCAAAACTTACCTACACTTAAGATGTTGAAAGGCCTATTTATAGAGTCTAGACTACCTGAATTCCAGCTCAACAATATCAACAACTGTGTTGTAACCTGTAGAAGCCTATCCAAATACAGCTCTGCTGCAATCCTCAGACCTTTTAACCTAAGGCCGAGAAAAGCAACAATTAAAAAGCAAAGCCTGAATGGTTTTATTCCCAGCTATTAGAAAAGCCTGACAACACAAGTTAAAAATATCACTTCACCCAAATAACATGAGATCCAGAAATAGAAGGAATAGGAGACCAAACACCTTTCATTTTGTTGAAATTCTGCAGACAGCAGCACTTCCTTTGATTTTTGTCCCTGTGGAAAACCTGGTGTTAGGTAACACACCAGCTCTAATGTCTCTCACGTTCCCTTGTTCTGGCTGAAATTATAACTATTAAGTATCAGAGGTAAGAAAAGCATTTGTTAATCCTGTAAACCATAAAACAAACTTTATAAGGGTGGAAATTATTTGTTCAAAGAGAAGATACAAAAGAGGTTCCTGAGTACCATAACCACCACCAACTGTCTCACATCTCCACCAGTTATTGGTCATCTATGCACCTCTCCCTAATCCTAAAAATACCACTCCAAATATATTTAAATAACTATTAGTAGCCTGCTCATGTGTGCTCAATGAAGCATATGAAAGGGAAACAGCTTGAGTCTTTCACTTTAGAGATTTTTCAGCTATACTTTTCCACTCACTTTACTGTCATGTAGCATCACTTCTATAAAGACAGAAAACAACATACTTTTAAATTTAAATGGTAATTATCCTCTAAACATATCAATCTCAATATGCTATAAACATAAACAAGGACAAAACAATTTTGAGAACACTTCTTCGGAAACAACTGATGTTAAGCAGAAAGCTTATTGCAGCAATAGTAAGTCTAAAACTAAAACTAAAACATAACTAACATAAAACTAAAGATGACATCAAGTTAAATAAGAACACAAGCATAAGACAAACACAATAAATGTAGCCAGTTTTTCCCATCTAGAAAAAATCTGTTACTCAATACTAGTCAAATCAGGAGTTAAAAAATACCTATTTTAGTAACCACTTTTTGTTTTAAAGAATTTTTCCAGAAAACACTTTAAAACTGCAGCGTGCAGAGTGGTTAACACCACAATATATCATTATTATATTATTCTGTAAAATTGTTATCATTATATATAAACCAATATATAATAATTCAGTAGCGTTTTCAATATTGCTATAAAATGGAAGCCTTAGAAAAATCTGTGTTTTCCAACTAAAACTTCTCCACTGACTCACTAGAAGTCAGTAGATATGATTAAAACAAAACATCAACACATTTAGTCAGTAATAATAGGAACCAGTACTGTTTTTATCTCCTTACAGACAGAGCTGACATAGAAAGAATGGAATGATGCTGCTGCCAACTCTGGCACCACTTTCTTCTTCACACATGCAAAATCCTCTAACTTTAGTTAAACCTACCAGGCAATTTTACAGTCCAAAAGACAACTTGTCAACAGTGAGTGTAGCTGAAGGCCAGCAACTTCACTTTTATCTTCCATCTGTATATGATTGATCAGTATAGTGGCAAAAGAGAGACCACTGCAGCTGACTGACGCAGAAACACCTAGAACAGGAGCAGCAGGGAGCTTGGTCACACAGATGGCTATAAAAGCCCCACATGTTCTAGTCATTTTCCTTTCCTTTGGATCTGTATCTCCAAAAGTTCAATCCGTATCTCCAAAAAGTTCAAATCCATCAGCAACACCTACTGCTACACACTGGAAGTACATCTATCCTCTGGAATCTCTACAGTAACCATACAACTACTTTAAAGATGTTCCAAATTATTCTATGGCTTTTCAAATTTAAAAGCTCAAGCACTATTTTTAAAAGTGTGGTTCGTATTTCTCACTGAATATGAGCACACTGCACAAACATAGTAGACAAAAAAAAAAGGCAGTTTCCACAGATGGAAACAGGTTTCAGCCAACTGTGATATAATTTACTTTATATTACTAGTAGATATGTGAATAATCCTGCTTACCAATGATGTAATTTCACTGCCAATTGTAAGTCCAGCTATTTCAGGTTTTCAGCTGTACTCAGTAGCTACCATAGCATTCCATTTTAGGTATAGTTACCCCCTCTACAGATATTTTGCTCATGTAAAGAGAAACATTTCTCAAATACATTAGGAGATTAAAATAAAAATACAAAGAAAAAAATATCCAAGAGCCTTTAAAACTGGATGAAACAATGAATCTGTGTATCCATATAGCTGTATTTTTAAAAAACCCAACCTACTGCCTGTATTATCACATAATCTATGGTCTTACAGTTTAAAAGTGTCAAAGTGAACAATTGTTTGAAAGGCTCATTTATGAAGCAAAGCAACCAAGTTTGCATCTGACTGATAAATGGAAAGTCAGTCATCCATACATATGTTGCTCTGGCATTGAGCATATTTGACCTGGATAGTAAACAACTCTAAAGCCACAGTTTCAAAAAAACTATTAAAAATGAAAGAAACTAATACACAAAAGCCACTATGTTGCTCAAAAGTACTACTTGCATACAGAGTCCTCAAACACAATGCCATTAACATTAACAACAATGCATTGAAGGGTTCAGTCTGTTCACATTGTCGAAGTATTGCCCAAAGCATGGAACAGTGTTTGGCACTTTATTCTTTCATTTCTACAAAATGCAAAAAGGGAACACACTCTGTTCCTTACCTAACACCTAAAGCAATCCAGGAAACTCTGAGTATGAGATGCTTTGGAGACAGCACCATTCACTAAATTCCCTTTCCTTAAAAATTTTGTAATAGAGGTGACACCCATTTGTCCACTCACTTAAAGGCTGAGAATCTCCACAGAATGATACAGAGCCAGACACTGTATGCATCTACAGTAGGAATATATACCTACATCCTTGAGAGGCAGGCTGGAGAATAAAAGAATCCTCCATGACTCCACAGAATGGAACTGAATATAAACTTTGAATATAAACCAATTATAACTTAGCTGACCAAAGCAAGGCAGCATATCAGGCCTTTATATTCAGTTCCATGGTTTGATTGAGTTCCCCTTCTCAATACTAAGTTGTTTCCCAGTTATGTTAGGAGCAGCCTTCATCCCTGCCATAAACATACAGGAGTTATTTCCAAGACCTGGTCAGACAACATGGAAATACCAGAAGTAATGTAGGTGACTGTATTATCTATGCATAAATTAGGTCTGGTGGTGGTAATACCGTTTTACTTCTAGATGAACTATAATTACTATTCCACATATGGTTAGGAAGTTTAGCCTAAGCAAGATTTCATTTGAAAGGAAGTTTGCTAATGAAAACTAAATAGCCAAATGAAAATCTAAAGAAAAATGCTTGAATCTTTGGCTGGCTGTTCTTTGCTGTAAAAAATGCAAATAGAGCCATGCACCTTAACAATGGGATTTCAGTCAGCACACACTGGAAAAGCAGAAGCATTTTTGCTTAGATTGTATACTGCCCATATACCTCCAAGCCACTCCCATCAAAGATTATCAGTTTGGATTTATCTCTCTTTTTCTTTTGGCTACTAAGCAATGAAGATACCGTTTTGGAGTAAGTTCTAGCTGCTGTGTACCTCTGTGGCACTCTCAAGCTCAAAATAAGGCATAAGGAGTATCTGCAAGAATCCTGTTCAGGGGGAAAAGCCAAAAACCCTGCATTGTGTTGGGTTGACCCAGGCTGAGCAGGAGGTACCCACCAAAGCCATTCTGTCACTGCCCTCCAGAGCTGGGCAGGGGAGAAAAAATACAAAGAACAAAAAGTTCAAAGGCTGTGGGGAGAGATAAGGACAGAGATCACTCACCAGTCACCACTGTCATGGGCAATTAAATTACCAAGTCAGTTTGGGTAATTTGATTGTTTATCTATTACCAAAACAGAGTAGGATAATGAGAAATAAGAGTAAAACCTTGACACACAAACCCAATACACTGCCAAAAAAGCAAGACTCTCAAGTCATGCTGGACTCCTTCCCCTGAGTGTTACAGCTAGCTAGGGATTCCTAGACTAAGCCAGCTACCAGCTATGGTTCACATGTCCAGACAAACAAAAGTTTGCACTGGCATTTTTGTCCTGAATGTTTTTGAAAAGCATTACACTAAAAAAAGTCCTTCTGTCCAGCACCTGATAGAATTTAGTTCCATTTTGCTATTCAGATACACAATACAAACCACAGAATCTACAGGGTAAAACACTACATATTCAAGTAGCTACAAAACTACAATGACTAAAATGCTTGTCTGCTACAGGGGTAGGGGAGCATGAGGATCAATTCCTGAACCCACAAGAAATTGTATCCTACTTTTTTTTCCAAATCCCCTGCCTTGGGAAAGAAGTAGGGAAAATCATGTAAATCCTATTAAAGGACATGTCTGCTACCAGAAGCAAACTTTAAATTCAGCAACTCCTTTAGTAGATTAGTTACCAAAATGCAGGAATGCAATCAGAAACAAGTCTGTTAAAATTCTTCGTAGCATTCTTATGACCAGAATATAAAAGCCAAAGAAAAAAAAGTCTTAACAGTTAATTAATATACCCAGAAGCACTGACAGATCTGAATAAAGCACATTCTTGAACAGAGCAAGGCAGCTATTAATGTTCCAGCCTAGAAAGATGGAATTCTCCAAAGCAACTGCCAGATTCTTCCGAAGTACAGCATAACCAATAGTAACATAATTACTCATACAGTCAGAAACCACTTTAGAATTTTAAGAGGAAAAGTGACATCCCTACTGATTCCTTCAAAATGTGGGACTTTTCTATGCCAGTAACTTTTATTTAATGGGTCCCAAGTATAACTACTGCAAGCAGTCTGATCAGAGACAATTAAGCCTTTCTTTTAATGCAGACCTCTAGGCTCTAAGTATCCTATCCACTCATGTTTATGGACTAATTATTGATCTACCCCAAATTAGGGAACCTGTTGATAGATAACTCTTCAAGTCGTCTCAACATGGAAATATCCCTCCCTGAACCTCAAAAGAAGTCTAAAAAGAGCACAACAAAAAAATTACCAAAAAAACCCTCTTCTGTAAGGGATGTTCTGCACTGGAATCTGTGTGCAAGCGCTGATGTACTTATGGGCTCTAACAGCCCTCTGTCTCAGGGACCCATGGCAGTCTGGAACAAGGGACTGCTAAAAAACAACTCCCAAAGCAAAATCCAGACTACCCTCTCTAATGAGTCAGCCTAGAAACTCTTTCACATGGTCAAGCTGCATCAGTGTTTTAACATAGTTCTCAGACACTTCTCACAAGATGACAGGGCATTACCGATAACCAAAACCTGTGCATCAACTTACCTCCTATTCACTATAGATCCTGTACAGCGCAGAAGTACTTGGGGAGAAGCTATTTGCTTATCATTCTGACTCAAAGAATCTGTATCTGTGCCTGCAGATAGTCCCCAAAACTTGTGTCCACAACTGAGCAATTTTTCTTGTGCTACTGGATAGCCTAGGCATAAATCTGGAGATACCATCACCATGTCATAAAACAAAGCAAATAAACCAAAAACCCCACCAGATAACAAGTCCTGTTCAAAACAAAGTCAAAAGGCCCAATAAACCCAGTTGTACAGAAAATTAAAAAAAACCTAGTACTGGAAGGCAAATAGAAATTGCTATAAAATCCTTAGTCACTTCTCTGCATGACTACCTATTCACCTCTTGCTTTTATGATACATGTTTGACTCCTGCTGTAATAGCGTCCTGCCCATCCCACTACGCCTTCCTGTTTACAGTCTTAAAGAGCTCACCATGTGTGCAGGGCAGCCAGGTGAGCTCACACCTTCCAAGCATTCACACAGAGGAACTGAAACCAGACCATCTGTAACACTTCCTCACAATAAAGAGCAAATATTGAATGCCTTCAAATATAGAACAACCCTTAGAAGAGAACTTAAGTCTCCCACCTAGCTCTTACCTCAAACTCAATAGCAAAATTTCATCCCTTCTGGAGAAGTATTCATTTTCAAAGCTGCTCACACTTACTTAAATCTCAATTAAGTTATTTTCCTTCAAATACCTGAAATCATCTCCAGTTTCTCCATTGCTAAGACTGCTTGCCACTGGAAACAAAGTGTTTGTGGCCCCCTGACAGCCAGCTGTGGTATCAGAGAGGAGCAGAACTGAACACAGAGAAATAGCCAGCAATTAGGAACAATTGCAGGTACTTCTCAGACAGCTCTTAAGACAGCCTTACATATGACCTTGTTCAAAGAAAAAGATGTGCCCTTGTACTAAACTGTGTTTTCTTCTAATGACCAGCAAGGGCTGACAGCTGAATTAAGGACATCAGAACAAAGAAATCGACTAATTTGCTATTTTTAATCTTTTTTAAAACATCAAACCAAGCCTAGTTTCCAGGAGATATTTTCTATTTTCATTTAGTTTATGCATGAATAAGCTTATTTCATAAAGCAGGTGAACAAGATACAATTAAGACTACAATTTTTTTTAAGTTTAAAGATGAAAGCTGCTACTTACATGTATGTTCAAAGAAACTGTCACAAAAAGAGTTTACATAATAAAGGTAATTGACAGATGACAGAGAAACACACTTATGAGCTTCC